GTGTGTGTGCTTTCAGGGGCAGATCAGCATCCTAGGGGGCAACCCTCCTCCCAAAAGGAGGCCGAACGCCCAGCCCAGGTGGCGTTCCTGTGCAGGAACCGCCGCCGCATCACAGTCCGGGAGGCCTGGCGGCTGTGGTCTGGCCTGCTGGCAGAGGCCGAGGAGTAGCTGCGGACTTGGGGAGGGTGGAAAGAAGCGAGGCCTGCTCCAGACTGCAGGTCTCAGACAGCCCCCCCCACCCGCACACGCAGACTTTCTGGCTGAGCAGGACCATTCCAGCCCCGCCCTGAAAGCTTTTCCTGGAAGAAGAGAACAGAACTTTGACCCCTGCTATCGGCACTGGTAGTGCCTGAGGGCAGGCTTACCCAACCCAGCTCCACCCAGAACAAGAGCTGATAACAGGACACAAAATCAACAGCATAGCCTGTTCCTCCAAGCAAGCGACACCTACTGACAGGGACAGCATCCTGCACAGCCTTTTCACAGCACCCAATGACTCATTATACAGGGAGTGGTCAAATCTCACCCACAGACACCACTTAACGCCTCAGAAACTAAACAAGGTGTGTGAATACCCAAACAATAACTTAAAGGAAAGAAACAACAACTGATTGACATGGGAAGAAATCAGCGAAGGAACTCCGGAAATATAAAGAACCAAATGGAAAACACACCCCCAAAGAGGAGCACCAGCCCCCTAGAAACAGACACCGATCAAAATCAGGCAACCAAATCACAGAAGAGGAACTTCGAATGTGCATCATCAGAAAATTCAACGACCTGCAAGAACAACTCAATAACCATCACAAAGAAACCACAAAAAGCCTACAGGACCTAGAACAAAAGTTCACTAAAGAAATAGACACAATGAAGAAAAGTTTAACCGAACTCCTGGAATGAATCCAATTCGGAACTAGCAAATACAGTGGAAAGGCTCAATAATAGGGTGTCAAAACAGAAGAAGAATCTCAGAGAATGAAGATAACATCCTCCAACCTAAATAAACAGTCACAAGAATAGAGCAAGAAACAAGAGAAAAGAGCAAGCCTACAAAGAGATTGGATTATGGTGAAGAAACTAATGTGAGGGTCCATAGGGTTTAAGAAAGGGGGAAGAACACAACACTCAAGGTTGATAAAGCTATCTGAAGATATAATGAGGAAAAATTTCCAGGCCTTGCCTCAAAATCTCGATATACAAGTTTCAGAGCTCAGAGGACCCCTGGGAGATTCAATGCAAACAGGAAGACGTCACGACATGCAGTTATCAGACTGACTAAAAATATCAACTAAGAGGCCCTTCTAAAGCTGTAAGACAAAGAAGCAAGTGACATAAAGGAAAGCCATTCGAATAACGCCAGAACTCTCTAATGAGACTTTACAAGCAAGGAGAGACTGGGGCCCATTCTCACTCTTTATGAAAACAAAACAATGCCCAGCCTAGAATCTTCTTCCCTGCAAAACAAAGCTTCATATAATGAAGGAGAATAAGACATTCTCAGACAGAGCAGATCTCAAGAGAATTCACCAAAGACAAGACTAGCCTACAAGATAACTCAAAAGTGTTACGCACAAAACACATAATAAAACCACGAATATAAAAACAACCAAAACCCAAGATTAAAGGCCAGATAATACAATGGCTCAAGAGAAAATCAAAGCAACACACATCCAACCAACAGAACGAACAGTAATCTACCTTCTATCAGTTCTCTCAATAAATGTGATGGCTTAAACTCTCACTCAAGAGACATAGGCTGGCTGAAGGATAGAAAATAAGCCAAGTGTATGCGTCTTCAGGAAACACATCTAACTGCAAGGATGCATACAGATAAAAGAAAGGGTGGAGATCAGTATTCCAGGCAAGTGGAAGCCAAAAGGAGCTGGCGTGGCAGTTCTAATTTCACATGATTTAGTTTTTAAACAACAAAAGTAGTGAAAGACAAAGAGGGTCATTACATAATGGTGAAGGCACAGTTCCAACAAGAAGAGATAACAATTTAATATATATGCACCAACTTAGGTGCACCAGTTCATAAAACAACCTTTACGAGTCCTACTACAAATGGATAATAGCAATCCATAATCACCGGAGATTTCAACACCCCCACTGACGGCACAAGACAGATCTTCCAAACAGAAATTAATAAAGAAATACGGACTTAAACAAACCCTGGAACAATGGGTCTGACTGACATCTACAGGACATTCTACCAAAACCACTGAATATATGTTCTCTCATCAGCTCACGGAACATTCTTTACGATTGACCATATCCTAGGACACAAAGTAAACCTCAAGAAATTTAAAACAATAGAAATCATACCATGTACCTTCTCAGATCACAGTAGAATAAAAGTAGAAATCAACCCTAACAGAAACTCACATTTCTACACAAAAACGTGGAAATTAAACAACCTCCTACTAAATGATTACTTCATAAATGAAAGAATCAAGATGGAAATAAAAATTCTATGAAGAAAACGACAATGGAGAGACAAGTTATCAACTCCTCTGGGACACAGCTAAAGCAGTTCTGAGGGGAAAGTTTATCTCCATAAATGCCTATAACCAAAAAAAAAGATCACAAATAGACAATCTAACGAAACACTCAAAGAGCTGGAAAAAGAAAACAGACCAACCCTAAACCCACAGAAAGAGTGAAATCACAAGAACAATCAGAACTAACAAAATTGAAAACAGGGAAGCTATTCAGGAGATTAATAAAACAAAAGTTGGTTCTTTGAAAAAATAAACAAAATTGAACACCATTGCTAACTAACGAAAGCAGAAAGAGAAATCTAATAAGCTCCATCAGGAACAAAAAGGAGATATCACAACTGATCCCAAAGAGATACAAGATATAATTTATGAATACTACAAAAATCTATGAAACACTGAGGAAGGAAATAGCAGAGGATGTAAACAGATGGAAATCCATACCATGCTCCTGGATCTGCAGACTCAACATCATCAAAATGTCTATACTACCCAAACTGATCTACAGATTCAATGCAATACCTATTAAAATCATCAGCATTCTTCACAGATATAGAAAAAATATTTTACGCTTCGTATGGAACCAAAGAAGACCCAAATATCAAGAGCAATTCTACAACAAAAACAAAATGGGAGGCATTAATATGCCAGATATCAAACTATACTACAAAGTTTAGTAATTAAATCAATCTGTATTGGCACAAAAATAGGAATATGGACCAGTGGAACAGATTGAGAATCCTGATACAAAACCATCCTCATATAGCCATCTAATTTGACAAAGCAGACAAAAACATACACTGGGAAAAGAATCACTTTTCAATAAATGGTGCGGAAACTGGATAGTCACCTGTAGAAGGCTAAAACAGGACCCACACCTTTCACCTCTCACAAAACCAACTCACGCCGGATACAAGACTTAAACTATGAAACTATTAGAATTCTAGAGGAAAAGTTGGAAACACTCTCCTAGACATCGGCCTAGGCAAAGAGTTTATGAAGAAGTCCCAAAGGCAATCACAGCAGCAACAAAAATAAATAAATGGGACATGATCAAACTACAAAGCTCTTGCACAGCCAAAGAAATAGTCATGAAAGTAAACAGACAACTACAGAATGGAAGAAACTTTTGCATCCTAGCATCCGATAAGGGCTGATAACTAGAATATACTTAGAACTCACGAAAATCAGCAAGAAAAAATCAAATAACCCTATTAAAAAGTGGGCAAAGGACTTGAACAGAAACTTTTCTAAAGAAACAGAAGAATGGCCCAACAAACATATGAAAAAATGCTCAACATCTCTAATCATCAGGGAAATGCAAATCAAAACCACAATGAGATATCACTTAACTCCAGTGAGAATGGCCTTTGTCAAAAAGTCTCCAAACAATAAATGCTGGCGTGGATGTGGAGAGAGAGGAACACTCTCCTACACTGCTGGTGGGACTGTAAACTAGTTCAACCTCTGTGGAAGGCAATATGGAGATACCTTAAAGCGAAACAAGTGAATCTACCATTTGATCCAGCAATCCATTGCTGGCATCTACCCAAAAGATCCAATGACACTCTACAAAAAAGAACCTGCACTCGAATGTTTATAGCAGCACAATTCATGATTGCAAGGCTGTGGAAACAGCCAAGTGCCATCAATCCAAGAATGGAAAAAATGTGGTATAGGTATACCATGGAGTACTATTCAGCTCTAAGAAACAATGGTGACATCTTATATTTCACAATAGCACATTTATATTTTCCTGGTTAGAGCTGGAACCCATACTATTAAGTGAAGTTTCCCAAGAATGGAAAAACAAGCACCACATATACTCACCAGCAAATTGGTATTAACTGAACAGCACCTAAGTGGTCACATAGGTAAACAGTATAGGTATTGGGCAGGAGGGAGGGGAAAGGGGCCGGTATATGCATATATAATGAGTGAGATGTGCACCATCTGAGGGATGGTCATGCTAGAGACTCAGACTTGTGGGGGGAGGGGGAAAATGGGTATTTATTGAAACCTTAAAATCTGTACCCCCATAATATGCCGAAATTAAAATAAAATAAAATAAAATCTTAGTTGTTCTCAATGGCGATAATTTAATACACAACCCATAATCATAAAACTTTAGGTAATAAAAACACATGCCAAAAGTGGGCTAAAAAAATTTTGTTATACATTGTGTTAAGCATAATTCTACAAAGCTTTCATATAATAAACTATAATATTTTTAGAAGCATGTAGGAGTGAAAAGCTGTGGAAATAAGAATATTTTCTCTTTCTTACGTTAAGGTTACCAGATCTTTAAAACACAAAAAAACACTACAAAGATAATCATTTTAAGATTTTTTTCATCTCCAATGTCTAGAAAAAGAAATTAAGATTTTTTTAAAAAAATAGTTATACTGATTAAAATTTGAAATGTTCACAATGTCTGCTTTTAATTTTATAACCAAGTAGACTCATTGATGTAAACAGTTCTGAAATCTTTTCTATTCTAAGGCTTAAAACTACATATTTCAAAATTCACTGCAGCTTATCTCACAAAAGGAAGAGTGGGCAGTTCTACATAATGAAATTCACTGCCAGAGGACACAGGGGCCTTGCAAAGGAAACAGTCAACTATAGCAATGGACATGAACAAGACTCAGCCTTCCCTTTTCTCCTAACTGGTGTAAGTCATCTTATTTATGAAGTAAGATTGCAGATTTTCTACCGCTTATAGTATTAAGGAACTTCTATCACCTAAAAGTCATTTGGTTCTGCAAATATCACACAAAGGATATGTTTTAATCTTAGAGAAAGAAACGGATGAAGACCCAAAATATGGATTATATGGAATTATATGTATGTATGTGTGTGTGTATATATATATATATATATATATATGCAAGATATGTAAAATTCCTGATACTCACCTGTAGCCTTTTCAATCTCATTGTTTCCCTTGACCCTGCTTTCATTCTACATATTACAATTACAAATTATTTAGGGAAAACAATGGGTAGGCAAGTGGATGGGAAATGATAGGAGTACACAAGATAGAAGGTAAGGATAACATGATTCTGGGCTATGTATAAGAATAAATTATTGTAATTCAAAACAACTAATAATTATTTAAAGGTAACCTGCCAAATAGAGAACATTAGGTACAAAAACTAAGTTGGTTTTGCCAATAGAGATAGAGGCATAGTTGATACTATTCACATTCAAGAAAAGTTATGTGAAACTGAAGCATGGGAGAAGGTGCCTGAAACAAATGCAGGAAGATAAAGATGTATGAAATAGTAGGGTGAGGAGGGAGTGGCTTATGAAAAGAATAAGTGAGTTGATAGTAACCCAAAGTAGCAGGAGAAAAAAATGATTATTCAATTATGAATCACTTTGTTGTCTTTGTATTTGAATGGTTCTGTTCTTATTTAATTTTCCTGTTCACCTTTCTGACTGTGTTTCAGCTTTTAATCTATTTACTCACTCTATTTTGACCAGCACACTTCACTGGTCAAAAACAGGCACTGGTAGGAGTCCTTTTGAATAAAATGCCCCACAATTCAGCATCACCAGATATCTGGTTTTCCTTTAACCTAAACTTCTAAACACTCAAAAGCTATCATTTTGTAATTAATCAGAGCAGATAAATTTGCATATTGTTTATATACATTATCTATTATAACTGCACTCAGGATGCTTCTATGATGGACAGGCTCTTAAGCTGCCTCAAAAATATCAGGTTGTAATCTTAGACTGGTTTATTTGCTAATTTCCCTGGTATGGTAATTCTTATGGTAATCACATAGCAATAATTTAGAATCTTTTATCCTTAAGAAAAATTTTTTTTAAATATTAAATAAGAGGGCAGTCCTATAAGCTGGTTGTGTCCCTTTCTTCACCATATAATGTGCATGGTAAACAAAAGGCATTATCTGTGGATATCATAAGAGACATTGCACAACGTTCAACTGTTCTCGAATCTTCCCTCTCTAAGCAGAGACCAATCTGCTGCCTCTGTATTACCCTGTGCTCCGTATCTAATAAATGTGGGGTCATAGTTATCTTTACTACTTACTATTTAATAGATGTGTGCCCTTGTGCAACTTAATGATCCTTTTTGTGCCTACATTATCTATGAAAAGGGAAAATAAAGAGTACTTTTCTTATAGCATTGTGAAAAACAAATGATATATAGTCCTTGGCCAGAACAGTGGTTGCCCCTGGCAGAGGTGGGGAAGGTGGAACAATAAGGTCAGAATTAACTGGGAAGGAGCATGTGGGTATTACTTGTGATGATGGTAATGTTCTATATTTGAACAAGTCTGGATAACATAGATCTATGAATTTGTTAAAATCCAGTGAATGTACAATTTATACATTTCATTTTATGTAAATTTTACCTCAAAGAAAAACTACACTTGATCTTAGCCAAAAGGCCAAGAAGTGATCAAAGAAAAACTATAGACAAATATTTAACTGTTTAATACTATTTAATACATGTAACTCTACAGTTACATGCTGAAATATTTAGCAGAAAGTATGCTGATGTCTGCATTTTACTTTGAAATGCATCAAAAAAACAAGATAGATTGATGGACAGAGGGTGGAGAAGGATACATAACGAGGCAAATATAGTAAGATGGTAGAATCTAGGTGGTGGGTAAATCAGTGATCATTGTAAAATTCTTTAAACTTTGTTGTATATTTGAAAATTTTTATAATAAAGTGTTGAAAAAAAGATAGAATCTGGTACAGAGTAAGCACTAGTCAATAATAGAAAATAACTATTTCCAGCTGAAGAGGGGTGAACTGGAGGTCAAATTACTGGATCTACTAGATCTGTCAAGAGAGAAAGAAACCACAACCTTTCCTGTAAACTTTTCCTCTCACATCATGATTTACTTAATTAAAAAAAAATCTCTTTGGCATCTTTACATAAAAATCAATTTATTTTCATTCCTTTTACTATTTTCTAAAAAAAAAAAAAAAGCAGACTAACAACACATGATTCAGGTAGTTACAGTTAACAGAGGTGACGCATACAGGGAAAGCAATTAATAGAACAGGGTAGTTAGAAGAAGCCAATATAATTTTACTGTATGATAAATCTCCCTCAAATAGTTTTCTATTTATTGAATACTTCTAATGATGTGCTATTAAGAGAAAAAAAATCCAACTTCCTACACATTATCTAAAAAGGTGCTGTTAAATTCAGTTTTAGTGCTGAAAATGCTTCAATTTGTCATGTCTGATGAGGTGATATTAAAATATCAGATGATTTTATTTTATATATCTTAGACTTAAATCAGTAACTACAGGTAGAGGAAACCAAACAAGACACTCAAATATATGTTGATCGCCACAAGGTAAGTTTACTTTGGACCTGCAACTTATCTACTCAAGAGGGCTTAGCAATGTTTTCCTCAAGGGAGCAGAGGTAAAACAGGAAATAGAAAGGGAAAGGAAAGCTGGATGTGAGGTGGTGAATGCTCCTAGAAATTAACTTTCGGGTTTCAGAATAATTGCTGGCACTTTCCCCATCCCTTATAGCTGGGTAAGATGGTAAATTCTGGCTTAAGTAGGTACTGATCAAGAAAATCTGAAACATTCCTTATGCTTTTGATTATACTCACAATCTCTTTTTTCAAATAATTCACTTACTTGATTGTCATTTTCATTGTCTTTGATAACCAAATACCTCAATAAATTTAATGAAGCCATAATCCTGTTAATTAAAAATATATATAATTTGTTACTTACAGTATAGTTTTATATAATCAACAGCAATTTCAATGAATAAATCACCTTGGCTATATTGTTATAATTACATTTGTCACTATTTGAAACTATTTGAAACTATTCCCACTGATATGTCTTTTGGACTAGTAATAACTTATTACTCTTGTTTTCCACTTAAGTTTACAAAATAGAAATATGAAAATTACTTTCCTTATTTTCTCAAGAAAGCTTTATCTTTAATATTTGAGAAGCATCATTTGTTGTTTTCTGAATCTTAAAATTCTTTTTGTAAATGCTTACAACCATTTCTCAACATCATTTATTCCAGTATATTAAAAGGGAAATTACATGTTCTATATAAAAAAATGATCACCTAGAAAACTAAATAAAACAACAAAACTCAACCATGTAATAAGCCTTTTATAAGTTATAGACACAGATTCTTATTTTTTGGTCACAAATGCTGTAGTGGCAAATCTCTATCAAATGCTGGGTACATCAAAGGTATAAAATCATAATGGTGGGCATTCATCTGCAAAGAAGAGTTTTTGGTTATGTTTCTACATATTATTGAAACACTTAAATATGAAAGTCTTTATGAAATTTAATGAATTAACCACTGATCATAAAATCACAAGAAAATACATTTTATTCGGTTAGGTTGTCTAAGCAGAAGCTTCACATTTTATTCTGAATTTACTATTTGAACCTTAGTAACAGTCATCTCACCTATCTGAGTTTTGCAATAAATCTGTTTCAGCACCCTCTGGGAGAAAGAGTACCAAATCTAGAAGGGAAATCAGCTGTGGTCCTGTAAACCATTTGTTGTTATGTGTTCTCTGAAAACCAAAAGGAAAATTAGAAAAGGGCTTGAAATAATAGCTTGATAAATCATGTTTTCCCTAATACCTTGATGCTACAAACTATCACACATTTAAAATATATTTTTTAGGCCAGGCGTGGCAACTCACGCCTGTAATCCCAGCATTTGGGGAGGCTGATGTAGGAGGATTGCTTGCAGCCAGGAGTCCAAGACCAACCTGAACAACATAGTGAGACCTTGTCTCTACCAAAAAAAATTAAAAAATTAGCCAGGTGTGATGGCACATGCCTGTAGTCCCAGCTACTTAGGAGGCTGAGGCAGAAGAATTGCTTGAGCCCAGGAATTTGAGGTTGTAATGAGCTATGATGATGCCACTGCACCTCTAACCCAGGCAAAAGAGTGAGACCAGACCCTGTCCCAAAAATAGTAATAAAATATATATATATATTTTAACTTTAATTTCCATACTTTCATTCAATTTCCAGGCACCTGGAACAAATCTTGCCAACTGGAGAACACTGGTACATGCTCTGTTTTCTATATGGAATTACTGATATTCACAAACAGGTAAGACTTAAGTTTCCATTAACTTTTCAGAAGCATATAGCAAAACAAAATGAAGTCATATTATAAGCTCAAAGAATTAATATAAATTTGTAGTTAACAAAATTTCCAAATTCAGGGTTTTCAAAGAAAGTATTAGAAATAGACAAACAATATACCTTAATACTAGAGAAAGAAAAAGACTATGGGGCAAAAACCACATTAATGTATTCTACATATGAATATATACACCCTACCAAATAAAATATATTGATAATTGATATAATGGCTATGCTCTTACCTTTAATGATATGTCAATTTGATTTTTGATATTTTGAATAATAAAGGCCTCCACACCTGAGTGATTACTTGTATTCAATAAGCACCTTGAAAGTAAAATTGCAATGGGTATATGAAATTATCCTGGACTGCATTATAATTACATGGTGATGAAAGTTTTACAAATTCAAATTGGCTATGTGTTATTTCTAGGAACACAAAATCCACAGTGAAGATAATTACCAAGGTGATCAGCCAAATACAAAGTCATCTGTAATAGTTATTGCTCTCACTGCCTGGTAAATTCTATTCATAATTAATCTTTCCAATAAGAAATTTTTATTAAACCAAATTTGAATCTTTTTATGCATATAGTTGCAATAATTCAACATGGCAAGAAAAGACACTAGTATAATAGCCTAACAACTCCCAAAATTATTTCCTACAACAAGAGACTAGTGCTGGTTAGACTAGCTTAATTGCAAATAAAGGAAACTCAATAACTAGCTTAAGAAAAAAGGGGGGCCAGGTGCAGTGGCTCACAACTGTAATTCTAGCATTCTGGAATGCCAAGGCAGGAGGATGGCTTGAGCTCAGGAGTTTGAGACTAGCCCCAGAAACAGCGAGACCCTGTTTCTACTAAAAATAGAAAAATTAGCCACACACAGTGGAACTCTTGCATCAGCTATCGGAAGTGAGGCAGGAGGATCGCTTGAGCCCAGGAGTTTGAGGCTGCAGTGTACTATGGTAGATGCCACTACACTCTACCGAGGGCAACAGAGTAACAATCTGTCTCAAAAGAAAAAAAAAAAAGGGAGGACTCTGGGAGAAATATACGGCGGAACGAACAGAAAGTGGTGTAGCCAGACTAAAATTCAGACTCTCATAAACCTGCTCTTATCTATCAAATAGAATGAAAAGAATAGGACAATAGTGCATACTACTGGCCAATCCAAAGAATACTTTTAGCACTTTAGACTGCCAAGTCTCATTTTTTTTACCTAGGACGAGGGTCAGCAAACTAAGTTTACAGCCACATCTAGCTACTGCCTGATTTTATCAATAAAGTTTATTGGAACATACTCACCTCTAATACAAAGCTGTCTTGCAAAAGACACCATAAGGTCCATAAAAGCTACATTATACAATTCCCTTTACAGAAGTTGTGCCAGTGTTTAACTTAGAGAGTTGCTAGAATCTTTTCTACCTCAAAAGCACTATTGTAAGCTCTACTATTAAGTTAATGAATAGCTGCTAAAGTTTATACTTCACAGGCATTAATTTCAACTGTAATGGAGATTTATTGACATATGTGAAGTTGTAGCCAGCAATTCATCAATCTCAGTTTAATCTTTTGTAAGTCTATTTTAAGTTCTAGAGTATTTCAATAACTGAATTGAAATATATACTATTATTCATTAATACGATACAGTATATACATAAATATGTACTCAAATATTTGACTAACACCTCTCTAACCATCACAGATAAAGAATTTAATATGGCTCAACTGGAGTTAGACAGTAAAACATACTGACATACTATCCACTAAATAATACCTAAGTTGGCTTTTAATAACAACACACTTAGCAATTACCCCACTTGAAATAAACCAAATAACGTATATTGCCCTGTGAATCCAACTTGTTAATATATAATGAACATAGCTAAACTCTTTTCCTCTGAATGGAATAAATAATAAATATAAGTTACATAAAATGAATCAAGATTAATTATTTATCAAACTTTCTCACTATAACCATTATTATTTTGTTCCCCAATTTTACGTACCAATGTCTCATGGGCAAAGTGTTTACTTTGACTACCCTAAAATAAAAAAGTTTAAAATTCAGATGTAAATAACAATATTGACTGCAAACACACAACTATATTATCAATAGTGAATAACTAAAAATTCAGACAAATGAGGATGAGATACTAAAAAAGTCTTGTTTTTCCTTAATATTAGAAAAAACAGTTTCTACATGATCACTAAGGACTACTTGGACATCATCAACTAGATACCAGGCAAATAAACAATCTGGAAAAAATCAACATTATATATAGTCTTTCAGTAATGAGTCAGTGCACGTCTTAGATGGAGTCCTGAGAACTTAATTAATAAGAAAAGTAAAAGAGTTCATTTCCAAGATCCCTACAGAAACAAAGTATAGGATTATGAAAGTTTCCACTAGATGCTATGTATCAAACTATGTAGCCACTAATAGCCATTTAAGTTTAAATTAATTTAAATGATTTAAAATTTAGTTCCTTAGTCAATTAGCTACATTTCAAAGTGTTTGATTCAGCTACTGGCTTTTCTACTGTACAGCACAAGATAACAAAGACATCTATCAGCACAGAAATTCTACAGGACAAACACTAGAGTTTTCAGAGATGTAGAGAGAAGAAAGTGGGAGAGGAGTCAGAAGTGAGAGAAAATCAGACCCTTACCTTATTAAGTTCAGAATAAGCAAGGGAATTTTTAATATCAGAATACATAGTTATTTACCTGAGGTACAGTAAGAAAACTCTTATTTCTAAGTACTGGTAAAGTAGACTGTTGTCCTTCTATTCTCAATAAACCATTCTCCAGCAGATCCTACAGAGTAAAATATATGCAGATACATATATGGTGAAGTCAACAGCTGTATTTGTTGACATAATATATATTTAATTATAATGGAGAAATAAATTCTTACCAATCCTTTGGGGAAACAGATTCTCTGTTCTAGAAGAGAATATTAAATTTATCATGATTTATAAACTATTTTAGAATGACTCTTAATCTCCGAAATACAATCAAAATAGAATTAAGATTTAAAATATATACATTAAAGAGAAATTCTTAGAAAAATTTAGTCAATCCATCTAATCTATCTTTGATCTGATCTTTTGATATGGTTACTGACATCTAAATCTGACCAGTACTACCCTACTCAGGGCTGTATTTCCTGGTATCAATAGATCTTCAATCTATACACCTGATATACACTCTATTATGTGTGTGTGTGTATGTGTGTGTATTCTAGTTGATTATTCTCTAAATCTTTTCAATTCTTTTTATTCAAAAAAGATTCCAGGCCAGTGCGGTGGCTCACGCCTGTAATCCTAGCACTTTGGGAGGCCAAAGTGGGAGGATTGCTTGAGCTCAGGAATTGGAGACCAGCCTGAGAAAGAGCAAGACCCCGTCTCTACTATAAGTAGAAAGAAATTAGCCAAAACAACTAAAAATAGAAAACAAAAAAATTATCCGGGCACGTGGTACCTGCCTGTAGTCCCAGCTACCTGCGGAGGCTGAGGCAGGAGGATCACTTGAAGCCCGGATTTGAGGTTGCTATGAGCTAAGCTGACGCCACGCGCACTCTAGCCCAGGCAATAAATGAGACTCTGTCTCAAAAAAAAAATATCCATGCTTTCCACTTGTGATAATACTTTTTAAAAAAAGGTTTAAGCTTGAAGCTCTGACTCCAGGGTGGGGGGAGGAAAGGCAAATCATACCTAACATTGTGTAAATTAATAATAAAATAAATTAAAAATAAAAAAGGTTTATAATCATTATTAACTAAATATTTAAGATCATTGGCAAAAAATATCTTGGGTTCTAGGAAATTACTTTAACCATGCAAGAAGTTAAAAATGTTTTATTCTGGGCTCAATGACCAAACAGTTTGGAAATCTCAGGAATACAGAACTTAGATTCAAATATATGTATTTCACTGTATGAATAATAGAAACTAGGTAGAATGAATCAAACATCATTAAGACCTTACATAATACAGCAAAGTTAATACAGAGTTAATAACTACTTTGGCAGGAACCTTGGAAATTCCTGCCTTGTAGGCCGAGCTTTGAACCTTTGCCATATTACAAATCTTCCATCACCTGGGAAGAGATGGGATTGATAAACTGTACCAGTGTTCCTAGAGGATAGTACTGCAAGGTCCTGACTAATCTCAAAGGATGATTTAAACATGTTATCAGGAAGAAAAAAGATATAGAGTTTTACAAAACGCTTAAATTCTGTCTGGAGAAATTATGCATACCTGTTACTTTGTAATTCTTTTTAAAATGTGTGTGTGTGTGAGAGAGAGTGTGTGTTTTAATAGAGACGGGGTCTCGCTATGTTGCCCAAGCTGGAGTGCAGTGGCAATTCACAGTGCAATCCCACTACTATCAGCACTGGAGTTTAGACCTGCTGTTTCCAACCTGGGCTGACTAACCCCACTTTAGGCAACCTGGTGGTCCTCCACTCTGGGAGGTCCCATACTGATGCAAACAGTGCAGACACCTGATCAACATAGTGCATTATAGCCCAGAACTCTTGGGCTCAAGCAATCCTCCTGCTTCAGCCTCCTGAATAGTTGGAACTACAGGCTTGTACACCGCACCAGGCCTTTTTTTAAAAAGAGAAAGTCCTGGCCAGTGTGGTGGCTCACGCCTATAATCCTAGCACTCTGGGAGGCCAAGGCGGGAGGATTGCTTGAGCTCAGGATTCGAGACCAGCCTGAACAAGAGACAGACCCCATCTCTACTAAAAATGAAAAATTAGCCAATCAGCCGGCGTCATGGCACGTGTCTGTTGTCCCAGTTGCTTGGAAGCTGAGGTAGGAGGATCACTTGAACCCAGGAGTTGATGTTGCAGTGAGCTATGACACCACTGCATCTACCCAGGGTGACAGAGCAAGACTAGTGTCTCAAAAAAAAAAAAAAAAAAGGCCGGGTGCTGTGGTCACGCCTGTAATCTAGCTCTTAGGAGGCCGAGGCGGGCGGATGCTCAAGGTCAGGAGTTCAAAACCAGCCTGAGCAAGAGCGAGACCCCGTCTCTACTATAAATAGAAAGAAATTAATTGGCCAACTGATATATATATAAATTAGCGGCATAGTGGCGCATGCCTGTAGTCCCAGCTACCGGGAGGCTGAGGCAGAAGGATCCTCTAGCCCAGGATTTGAGGTGCTGTGAGCTAGGCTGACGCCACGGCACTCACTCTAGCCTGGACAACAAAGCGAGACTCTGTCTCAAAAAAAAAAAAAAAAAAAAGACAAAGTCCTGCTTCTTAGCATCTCAAATAAGAAAAGCTATAATTGAGTGATAGCACTGTCAACAGTCTAAGTTATAAAGAGTGGGGTTGTCAAGATACCACCTTCCTTTTGATGCAGTTCACAGATTGTGTCCATGAAGGAAAAATATGGGTGAACTTCTCTGACTGACTGCCCCTCCACAGATGGAGAAGAATGCAGTAGGGTAGAGGCTAAGGAGGAGAATGAAGTAGGGTAGAGGTGTTTTAATTTACCAGCTTTTGAAATAAGGGAAGAAACCTCAGAAATAGATGACTGGAAAACTCCTTATAAGACAAAATGTTAATATTATCTTGGGTTTAAAATAAACTTTGCTATAAAACCTCTGACTTATTTCTGTCTCTCTCATGAGTATTTGCTTCACTGTTGTATAAAATAACCAATTAATTAATTAGGGTGTGTCAAAGAGAAGGTAGTCTCCCTTGATCTTGACAAAGACTATTTTAACACTACTTTTTGATTCTGAGATACCATCTAAATGATCAAATGATCTTACCTTTGCAAGAAGACTTCAATATGCCCCATATTAAACTGCAAAAGGTACAAGGGGCTAAAATAGAAACAAAACAAATATATATATAAAATATATATACACACACACTGCCCCCATACTGTTACAGATTGAACTGTGTCTCTTCCAAAAAGGTATGTTAGAGTCCTAGCCTCCAGTACCCCAGAATATGACCTTATTTGGAGATATGGGTTTTTACAGAGGTAATCAATTTAAAGTGAGGTCTTTAGAGTGGGCTCTAATCCAGTAAGCCTAGTGTCCTTATAAAAAAAGGAAAGTTTAGACACAGAGGAATGTATACAGCAAGAACACCATATGAATGTGAAGGCAGAGAACAGGGTAATGTATCTACAGCCAAAGAACACCAAAGATTGGGAGCAAATCACCAGAATCCAGAAGAGAAGCATGGAAGATTGTCCTTCACAGCCCTCAGAAGAAATCAACCCTCTGAGACACCTTGATCTCAGAACTCCAGCAGCCAGAACTATTAGATAATATATTTATGTTATTTTAACCATCCAGTTTGTAGTACTTTGTTACAGGAGCCCTAGCAAACTAACGCACAATAAGTTATTTTGGTGGCAGAATGTGATGGTTAAGAGTACAGGCTCTGGGGTCAGATATGACTGACTGAATTCCACCCCTTCAGCAGTATCTTATGCAAGCCTGTTATTTTCATCTGTAAAATGAGATAATGCTCTGTTTCATAGGGTTATTATAAAGATTATATGACACATATAAAGCTATTAGCATAATGTTTCATACATGATGAACATGCAAATGGTATCCATTACAATATTTATATACAAACATACCCCTAGGTATATTCGTATGTAAATATACAAACTCACACAAAGAAATACACCCAATGCCTGTAAGACAAATACATAATCCTTATTATTAAAGACCCTAAAATCCAGAATGCATTACATTATAAAATTATGTATTTATTTAAAAAATAATTTTGATAAACTTTGCAGGAAAAGAAGACAAGGTCAAGATAATTATAATGGGATGATGCAAATTAAATTAGGTGGTGAATGAAGGCTTTCTTCAGAAAATGACAATTAAGAATAAAGGTAGTTCTAAAGGCCCTATAGCAGGAAAGTTCAAGACATACTTAAACAAAAAAAACAAAAAAAGGTCTGTGTTTTTGGAGCATAGTAAACAAGAGGAAGGGTGGGAGGACATGAATCAGGTCAATCAAGGAGGGACCGGATCATGCATAAGTTTGTCTCACGAGTCATGTGAAAGCATTTAAACTTTATTCTTAGAGTAATAAGAAGCCACTGAAGTGAACTATGGCCATGCCACTGCACTCCAGCCTGGGCGACAGAGGTGAGACCTTGTCTATTAAAAAAAAAAAAAGCCACTGAAAGGTTTTCAGTAAAGGACTTCTTTTAAGGCTTTCCTTTCTAGTGTGTTAAGAATGCATTAGATTAAAAGGGAGTAAGAATGGTTATATAAATATTCACTCAGGATTACAGCAGTAATCCAGTGAAAAGATGATGGTATCTTTGGATACCTAGTCAGTTCCCTCCTTTGCAGTCCAGGGTAGTTTGCAGTCCAGAAAGTTTAACACTTTCTGCCTCTTGTCCGTACCATTCCCTCACGTTTATTTCAATACCCACCCCTTTTCATGACTTGACTACCAGTGGCTTTAACAGATTGTAGCCAGTTTCATTTAGAATAAAAATAGACTTTGCTTTAAATGTATTAGCATGTTAACATGTATATATTGGACATTGGATAAGTGAGAGTTTAATGATACTCCTTTTAGAATATATGAATAAATGGAACCCTAACTCTTACCTTAAGACCATTGGAAGCTGATCAATACTGATGCCCTGTACAAATACTAGATATGCCAGAGAAGCCATAGAGTCTGCTAATTGTTTGTCTTCTTCTTCCTCAAATTCAAGGTAATCCCAAGTCCTCTTTTTCCTTCCATGATTAAAAATCATTTTGGAGAAAGGGTGTCCAATTGCTGATAAAAAACCCTGTGAAGTAAGTAAAACACAAAGCTATAGCAGACAGAATCTAAGGTGCCCCCAACCCCATATTCACACCAAGGGGAGTATATTCACTCCCCTTTAGTGTGGGTGGGATCTGTGAGACTTGCTTTTAAGCAATAGAATATGGCAAGATGTCACTCCTGTGATTAGATTAGGTTTTATGACAAGAGTGAAGGGATTTTTACAGATGTAATTAATGTCCCAATTAGTTAATTTTGAGTTATTTAGAAAGGAAACTATCCTGGGTTGGCCTAATTTAGTAAGAGAGAAGATTTATTAAAGGGGGTCCAGGCCTTCCATGAGAGTCAAAAACTCTCCTTTGCTGGCTTTAAAGAACTAAGCTGTCATGTTATGAAAGGGCCTATGGACAGGACTACATGTCAAGGGATTATAGGCAGCCTCTAGAAGCTGAAAGTGGCCCCTGGCTGACAGCGAGAAAATGGGGACTTCAGTTAATCCTACAGCTTCAAGGAGATGAATTCTGCCAACAACCTGAGGACACCTGGAAGTGGATCTTTCCCTAGGTAAGTTTCTGGTAAGACTGCAGACCCCTCCCCCAAAAAAAAGGCTCATGTCTATAATCCCAGCACTTTGGAAAGCCCAGGGAGGAGGATCGCTTGAGCCCAGGAGTTAGAGACCAGCCTAGGCAACATAGTAAGACCCCATCTCTACAAAAAATTTAAAAAATAGTCAGGCATGGTGGTACGTAACTATACTCCCAGATCCTTGAGAGGCTGAGGCAGGAGGATTGATCACTTGAACCCAGGAGTTCAAAGCTACAGGGAACTATGATTGTGCCATTGCCTGGGCAAAAGAGCAAGATATTGTCTGTTTTTTTAAAAAAAGAAAAAGAAAAAGAAGAAAAAGAAAAAGACTGTGGGTCCAATTAAAAACTGACTTGTAACCAGATGAGGCCTTGAGCAGAGGACCCAGCTAAGCTGTGGCTGGACTCCTGATCCATAGAAACTGTGACATAACAAACGTGTGTTGTTTTACACTGCTAAGTTTGTGAGAATTTTTTACACAGCAATAGAAAACTAATACAGAGCCAAAAACCAAAATCATACATTACCATGGGCATTTATGTATCAAATGGTTTCTAAATCAATGCAGAATTGTAATTAAAAGCACACATTCACAAATGAGTTTGACAGTCAAATGACCTGACTGCTAGATGGAGGGCTCTAAAGTGAATGAAATAAAATAATTCTACATTAAAAAAAATTTTTTTAAGTGCTTCAGAAATAGAGACAGGAAGTAGAATGGTGGTTGCCAGGGTATTCGAGGGGGGAAAGTGGAGGATTGCTTGAGCTCAGGAATTGGAGACCAGCCTGAGAAAGAGCAAGACCCGTCTCTACTATAAGTAAAGAATTAGCCAAACAAACTAAAATAGAAAACAAAAATTATCCGGGCACGGTGGTACCTGCCTGTAGTCCAGCTACCTTGAGGCTGAGGCAGGAGGATCACTTGAGCCCAGGAGTTTGAGGTTGCTATGAGCTAGCTGACGCCACGGCACTCTAGCCCCGCAATAAATGAGACTCTGTCTCAAAAAAAAAAAGATCCATGCTTCCATCTGTGATAATACTAAAAAAGGTTTATAGCTTGAAGCTCTGACTCCAGGTGGGGGGAGGAAAGCAAAACTATAACTAAAATTTGTAAATAAATAAAAAAAATAAATTTAAAAAATAAAAAATTAATCATTATTAATAAATATTTAAGATCATTGGCAAAAAAATATCTGGGTTCTAGGAAATTACTTTAAACCATGCAAGAAGTTAAAAATGTTTTTATCTGGTCAATGACCAAACGTTTGGAAATCTCAGGAATACAGAACTTGATTCATAATGTATTTTCACTGTATGAATAATAAAACTAGGTAGAATGAATCAAACACATTAAGACCTACATAATACAGCAAATATATACAGAGTTAATAAACTACTTATGGCAGGAACCTTGGAAATTCCTGCCTTGTAGGCCGAGGCTTGAACCTTTGCCTATTACAATCTTCCATCACCTGGAGAGAGGGATGATAAACTGTCACCAGTTCTAGAGGATAGTTACTGCAAGTCCTGACTATCTCAAAGGATGATTTAAACATGTTATCAGAAAGAAAGATATAGATTTTTACAAAACGCTTAAATTTCTGTCTGGAGAAATATGCATACCTGTTACTTTGTAATTTCTTTTAAAATGTGTGTGTGTGTGAGAGAGAGGTGTGTTTTAATAGAGACGGGTCTCGCTAGTTGCCCAAGCGGAGTGCAGTGGCAATTCACAGGTGCAATCCACTAGATCACACTGGAGTTTAGACCTGCTGTTTCCAACCTGGGCTGACTAACCACTTTAGGCACCTGGTGGCTCCACTCACTGGGAGTCACCATACTGATTGCAAACAGTGCAGACACCTGATCAACATAGTGCATTATAGCCAGAACTCTTGGGCTCAAGCAATCCTCCTGCTTCAGCTCCTGAATAGTTGGAACTACAGGCTTGTACACCGCACCAGGCCTTTTTTTTAAAAAAGAAACGTCTGGCGTGTGGTGGCTCAGCCTATAATCCTAGCACTGCTGGGGCAAGGCGGGAGGATTGCTTGAGCTCAGGAGTTCGAGACCAGCCTGAAACAGAGACGACCTCATCTCTACTAAAATGAAAAAGTAGCAAATCACCGGGCGTCATGCACGTGGTCTGTTGTCCCAGTTGCTTGGAAGCTGAGGGTAGGAGGATCACTGAACCCAGGATGGATGTTGCAGTAGCTATGACACCACTGCACTCTACCAGGGTGACAGGCAAGACTGATGTCTCAAAAAAAAAAAAAAAGGCCGGGTGCTGTGGCTCACGCCTGTAATCCTAGCTTAGGAGCGAGGGGGCGATTGCTCAAGGTCAGAGTTCAAAACCAGCCTGAGCAAGAGCGAGACCTCTCATATAAATAGAAAGAATTAATTGGCAACTGATATATATATATAAATTAGCGGGCATAGTGGCGCATGCCTGTAGTCCCAGCTACCGGGAGGCTGAGCAGAAGATCACTCTAGCCAGGAGTTTGAGGTTGCTGTGAGCTAGGCTGACGCCACGCACTCACTCTAGCCTGGAACAAAGGAGATCTGTCTCAAAAAAAAAAAAAAAAGACAAAGTCCTGCTCTTAGCATCTCAAATAGAAAAGCATATATTGAGTGATAGCACTGCAACAGTCTAAGTTATAAAGAGTGGGTTGTCAAGATACCACTTCCTTTGATGCAGTTCAACAGATTGTGTCCATGAAGAAATATGGGTGAACAAATTCTCTGACTGACTGCCCCTCCACAGATGGAGAAGAAGTGCAGTTAGGAGGAGATAGAATAGGTAGAAGTGTTTTAATTTACCAGCTTTTGAAATAAGGAGAAACCTCAGAAATAGATGACGGAAACTCCTTATAAGACAAAATGTTAATATTATCTTGGTTAAAATAACTTTGCTATAAACCTTGACTTATTTCTGTCTCTCTCATGAGTATTTGCTCATGTGATAAAATAACGACAATTCGTTTAATTAGTGTGTCAAAGGAAGGTAGTCGTCCTTGATCGTCGACAAGGCTATTGCTTTAACACTTTTTGATTCTGGGATCCCATCTATGATCAAATGATCTTACCTTGCAAGAAGACTTCAATAGCCCCATATTAAACTGCAAAAGGTACAGGGCTAAATGAAACAACAAATAAATATAAAAATATATACACACACACTGCCCCCGAACTGTACGATGATGGTCTCTCCAAAAGTATGTAGATTCCAGTCCTCCAGTACCCAGAATTGACTTATTTGACGAATATGGGTTTACAGATTCAATAAAGGAGTCTTTAGAGTGGCCTTAATCAATAAGCCTAGTTCCTATAAAAAGGAAAGAAAAAAAAAAAAAACAAAAAAAAAAAAAAAAAAAAAAAAAAAAAAAAAAAAAAAAAAAAAAAAAAAAACAAAAAAAAAAAAAAGTAAGAAACAAAAACAAAAGAAAAAAAAAAACAAAAACAAATAAATGTTTAGAACAGAGGATGGTATACAGCAAAACACTATAATGGAAGGCAGAGAACAGGTTAATGTATCTACAGCAAAGAACACAAGATTGGAACATAATCACAGAATCCAGAAGAGAAGCATGAAGAGTTGCCTCACAGCCCTAAGAAGGAAATCAACCCTGGACACCTTGATCTCAGAATCCCACATGCGGAAATATTAGGATAATATATTTATGTTATTTCACCATCCAGTTTGTAGTACTTTGTTACGTAGCCCTAGCAATAACGACAATACTATTGTTGGTGGCGATGTGAATGTTAAGAAGTAAGGCTCGTGGGTCAGATATGACGACTGAATTCCACCCCTTCAGCAGTTTTATGCGCAAGCCTGTTATTGTTTATCTGTAAAATGAGATAGATGCTCGTGTTGTCATATAGGGTTATTATAAGAGATTATATGACACATATAAAGCTATTAGCTAATGTTTCATACATGATGAACATGCAAATGGTAACCATTAAATATTATTATACAAACGGAACAGAACAGGAAAGTTGGTGTAAGACCTAAAAATTCAGATCTCATAAACCTGCTCTTACTCTATCAATAGAAATGAAGAAAAGATAGGAACAATAGTGCTACTACTGGCCAATCCCAAAGAATACTTTTTAGCACTTTAAGACTGCCCAAGTCTCATTTTTATTACCTAGGACAAGGGTCAGCAAACTAAGGTTTACAGGCCACATCTAGCCTACTGCCTGATTTTATCAATAAAGTTTTATTGGAACATACTCACCTCTAATACAAAGCTGAGTGGTTGCAAAAGACACCATAAGGTCCATAAAAGCCTACATTTACAATTTGGCCCTTTACAGAAGGTTTGCCAGTGTTTAACTTAGAGAGTTGCTAGAATCTTTTCTATCTCAAAAAGCACTATTAGTAAGCTCTACTATTAAGTTATAGTGAATAGCCTGCTAAAGTTATAACTTCACAGGCAT